GAGTTTAGGGCTGTTGTACATAGGGTCGCTATGAGTCGCAGGCGACTCGACAGCACATAACAACAACAACAACAATTAAGGCCAAAAAGATTTTTTGTATTTTAAGTAGACACATAAATTTTTAAATAAGCTTTCTTGAGATGTACAAATATAAGGAATTTTATTCATCAGATAACCATAAACATTAAAAATGCAACTCTGGCTGCTAGAAAATGATAAGAAAGAGTTATGAAATATTAGGCTATTTTCACAGAATTGTATCATTTTAAGCAAAAGAAAGGCTAAAAATGGTAATGATCAGAAAAGTGATCATAATTCTGAATTTCTCCCTCTCAAAAAAATCAGTATTCTGCTCATCCTTTTAAAAAACTGTAAAAGAATCCAACAGCTGCCAATAATAATAATAGTAAGAAGTAGAATTTCCAGAGAAGGGAGAGGAAGATCTAAAATCAAGCTGTATTCTATCTACTCCAGTTACATAAGTCAAACATCACAAACAAAAATTATAGTGTTAAATTAGCTAGTCAATTCCCTATGGAAAGTGTGAGAAAGAATACAGCTTAAAATTTCAGACTTAATTTAAACCTACAGTTAGGAGAATTAGCAACTCACTATTCTGGGAATTTGAATAAATGAGAATTAGTTTTAAATGGAACTAAAAGCAGCACTTTTAACATTGCTTTTCTGACCATATCCATAATTAAAATAGCTCCATAAACATCTATGCAATCCAAATGTCACTTCACACAAAGATAAAAATCTAATCACAGCATTCAATTTCTCACATGTGCAGAACTGGTAAAACATTCCTAGGAAGACATTTAACTTTTCTTGAGAAAGTGGGAAATCACAAATCAAAATTAGGTGGTAGCACAGACAGGAAAAAGAACACTCCAATAAAAGCGTTCTAGTTCCAGCTCTCCCGTGATTCTCTGGTGTGACACTTCAGACAGATGGTTTTGTCCTCTGTGCCCCGATTTTTTCCTCTGTTAAAATGGACATGCTCCATCCCTATATTGGGGTGGTGGCAGTAACGATCAAACGTTACTCTTTGAAAAGTTGCACTTTGAAGAATACTGTACAATGAAATCAGTATAAGGTTGTCACGATTTCTCATTTCTGACATAATTATTGCTCAATCTGCTTGCTAGATGCAAGTGAAGTCGACAATGAAAAGGCACATGTGAGTCAAAGAAAAAGCAGATAAAGCAGAAGGCATCCTCCTATGCGCACGCGGGACTTACGTCCTGCATTTGGGGGGCGTTGAAGACTGCACAAGATGACAACTGAAAAGACTGAATCATGACTTGCGCAACACCCTGTGGAGCAGAATACAACGCACCTCCCGGGTCAGAATACATCCCAATGGCTTTTTTAAGTGGAAAGAACATTTACACAAATAATGAGCTTCTTGAACCTCAAACAAGTCACTTAAAGGGGGGGGGGGTTCTTTTACATTTTTAATATGAAGGATGTGAACTGATCAGTAGTTTTTAAAGTAGCTTGCTGCCATTATTTTTCAACTACTTAAACCCTTAAAATAATTTCACAAAAAAAGAAAACACTTCCATTTTTAAAACACTAGGGGGAAAAAATAATGTTGATCTGGTTGAAGTAGAAGCAAAAGACGAAGAACCCAAAGTCGTTGCATTATTTTGGACAATTAAAAAGCTCCTGGAATTTTGAAAAACCACTGGACTAGATGGTCAAATATATTCTGGTTCTAAAGCTATCTGCTTAGCTGTTATCTATGAATTTAAAAAATAAAGTTTAAATTGGACTCTGTACTATTATTGAGTTTTAGCATCTTCATCAAAAAAAGCCAGCAGAAAACACTTGTGATATTTATCAATGATTAAATTCGTCACTAAACTTACAGGGGGGAAAAATTAAGTTGGAAAATGCAGGCCAGCCCCTAAAATGGCACAAAATATAACCAACAGTCTTACTAAATTATTAAATCATCAATTCATTCAAAACAAAATTCTCAAATTCACCTCTAGCGGATTTTTATATATTTTATCTTCTAAAACAACTAACAAGTAACTAAAACATAACAAAACAAAAAGTATCTATACTCCTTTAAAAAGAAAAATCATATAACAATGAAAGAATTTTTTTTTTCTTTTCAAAGAGAAAAGCAAATTGGGGGCTAGGACTGGGCAGGGAGGAAAAAAAGAAAAATCCTATTATCAATTATTATCTGGTCTGAAATCCAAATTATGTAGAGGTTTCTTTCTTTTTCAACTAATAACGAACCAGAGCCACCAACCACTGTGTCAAGCTGGCAGATTGCAGAGTAGGCACAGAGAAGATCCTTTAAATATCATAAGAGGCCTAGTGTGTGAACCACAGAGCTAAACTTGCCTGACTACAAATCTCAGCTCTACTACTGATCAGAGATATGACCTTAGAAGAGTCCCTGGACCTTCCTGTGCTTTAATACCCTCACCTATAAAATAGGAGCAAAAAAATAACTAGCTTGTGTGTTTGCTGTGGGATTAAAGAGTTCATATATGTACAGCATTCAGAACAGCGCTTAATACCTAGCAAACATTATGTCTGATAGCATTAACATTGTTAGCAAACTAACAATCTTCACACTAGGTGAAAGATGCTCCTTCATTTAAATTGATACGTAAATGGCAGTTTAAAAATATTCTTATTTGGCAAACATATATTTTAATGGTAATATATTTATTTGCCCTTGTTTCCAACGGTGTTTCTTATTTCATTGGTATCTCCTGTTTATATGAATAGTCTAGGAAATCCAAAAGTTTAGGAAATATGATTAAACCATGTAAAACCACATTATAAAGAAAATTCAAAGCACAATTAATCCAGGTCTCTTCTTCATTTCCTTTACATACTAAGTTTTGGGGTTTTTTTCAAATTTCTTCTAACTTTGAGCTCAACCAGAAATAATATCCTCTTAGTAAGTACTTTCCATATGTACAAAGTATATACTCACCATATATTTTTCTGTCCCAAGACAGAAATAAACACTGGGTCAAAACTTCAACATACGAGCTTCCATGATACTACTATCAGATAACAGTCGATTATATATTAACACATTTATTTCATCTGGTGTCAGCTTTCCCAAACACTGATTTAACTTCATACTAGCAATTTCAATGTCATCATAAGTGTGAATTTAGAACTACATAAAGAATATTTCCGATTCGTCTGGATGGGAAGATGTCAACATCACTTAATATCTGTCATTAAAATGTATCCTTTCAACCAGGGTGTACTGAGCTGTGAGAATAATGCCGCTTTCTGTTTTAGTAGCATTAAGCTGCTGCTGTTACCTGAGCATGCTGGCTTTGTGCAAGCTCCTCTTTCCTGCGTTTCATGAGCTCTTTTCTCAGCTCTTTGGGTGCTTTCTCCACTTCATTTATAACCTACAGTGTATAAGCATGCAGGAGGTGGGGAAATGATACTTTCTCCACAGCGAGCATTTATGTGAGCAGACAAGCTACAAGTCAAATAGTAAAGCTGTTAAAAAAGTTCTTTCAACATGCATTATTAGCACAGGTGTTAGTTCAGTGAAAAAGAATGAAAGGATAGAACATGCTTAATTCTCAGTGCAGAAAGAAACATTAGAGCATACAGAGGTTAATGAGCCACTTAATTATCCCTATATATCATTTTCTTTCATAAAGGTCTGAAGTCAGGGAAGAATTACTTATGGCACTGATGCTGAGTTAAATCTAATAAACTCAGGTGACCTTCTTGAAAGATGATAAAATTATAAACTTTCCTTGACAATGTTCGAAATACTGGATATAAGGAAAGCTAATGCCATTTATGAAAGTGCAAAGTTTCATAAAAAGCTTAATACCAAAGAAATAACAAAAATAAAATCTGCTTAATGAGACCAGTTAAAGGAAAAAGAAATTTTAAAATACATAAAAAAGAAATAAATGGGTAATAAGGGTTTTGGTTTGTTTGTTTTTTTTCATAAAACACACCATTTTTAACACAGTGTGATAAGAATATAGATGATTATATATGTAGGACATTGTCCTTTGCTGACAATTTAAGTCAACTTTTATTGTCAATTCTTAACTTGATAATAAAAGCACTCTTAATGTAAGTTTAGTAAGCTGTAATTTATGTAACCAGATGAAATATGAGAAAGTCTATTTTAGAGTTCTCTGAATGATTAAGAAATCTAGAAGTGTACTCTCTCAATGGACCTGCACACTGGTAAGGAGGCAGTCATGTGTTTACAAGTAGAAGCACCGAAAGAAACCAGATTCCAAATCACCACATGCTGATGGTCTGTGAAAGAGCTCGATTTTGATTCAATGAAGTGTATTTAAAATCTCCCACCATTAATTTCTCATGAAACCAAATCACCATTCAAAGGAAGAAACTCCCCAAATTCAAGAAGTTTAGTGATGAGAAAAAAAAAACACAACAAAATGAAACAATTATTTACAAGATTCACGTCATGTACTCAAACCTATTCACTGGCTAAAACACAACTACTACTCCTAAAAAGAGACAATACTTAGAAACTTTTATATATTTAGGATTAAATTACTCACTTACCCACTCATTTTGTTCCATTTAATCTGATATAAAGATTGGACTCTTACTTAAAACTACCAATAGTTTTAAGAAAATAAGCATGTAGTCCTAATAAAGTCAAACATTTTTATAGAAAACATAGTAAACTGTAACAAAAAGAGTAGATTTTAGAAATGGTGATGACATCAAAAAATTACATACTATTCCATTCCTCTCTACATACAGAAATTATAAAACGAAATGTATTCATTAGTGCTAAGCAGTTTCTTAAGACAGGCCAATGTCGTTTTTGTTGTATGCTGGAGTCAGAATCGACCCCTAGCTGACCCTCAAGTGGGTTTTCACAGGTAGTAAACTGCATGGGAGGAGACTGTCTATCCTTCTCCCATGGAGCAGCTGGTGGCTTCAAACTGCGTGCCTTTACGATTGCAGTGTAGGCTCCTACCAACAGGACATTGTATCTCATAATTTAAAACTTACAATCAATAAATCCGGGTATTTGAGATGTGTAACAAAAGTGAAAATGCATTTCTTAGCTAACTTGAGATTTCTGTTGTTCCAACCATAAGAGAATTGATCAATATTAAGGTCTTTGGAGTCTTAACATATGTCCTGGAAAGATAATCCTCCTTCTGCACTGGCAGACAGTACTTATGAATCTTTATTTCTCCATGTAAAGCTCTCTTATTTTTCTTTTGTTAGGGACAAAAAGACATACTAATATGTACATGCTCCTCTGAAACAATAATAAACCTTTCTGAAAAATGGCACTATAAATAGATTCCATGTCAAATGGAACAGTTTCACGAAAAACAAAAACAAACAAACAAACAAAAAAAACCAAACTTAGAATAGAGGACTTCATAAATATTTCTACTTGTTAATCGTCAAAGCACCTCACAACCTGGTGAATTTATAGGCAGTATTTCAAATTTCAGGTCATTCAGTTTTTGTTCTGACAAAATGTCCAAGAAAGGCAATCAAGCTAATAAGAAAGGAAAAATACTATTGAAAATATAAACTAAATATAACAAATAATAAAATTCACTAGTCCTGCCACCTTTAAGCACAGTGTAGTAACGTTTTCTTTTGAAAATATTTCTATGTCAGGCTTTACATTAAAAGAGAAAGGGTGAGGCAAAAGGCACTTGAGCTCAATCTGAAGACCTGGTTCAATTTAGCTGAGCACTTACTATAGCTTTGTGAACCTGAGCAAAATCCTTAAGCCCCTCTTATTCCAGTTTTCCTGGCAATAAATGGGAAGACAGCTGGCCTTACTACTACCTGGTATGACAGCTGGGAAGACCAAATGAGAATATGAGTAAGATAACCCAAATGTACAAAAGAATATCTCCAGTAACTAAAAACAGTAGTTACTCTTACCTCCTTCTTGCGATTTTTCAGCATATTCTGAAACTTGGACAGCTCCCTCTCCTGCTCTCCTTTAATGCGCTTGGCTTCATCTCTCAAGCGATTGGTGTGTTCTTGTTCTAGACGTTCAATAGTCTGTTTCTGCTGTTTTTCTAGATTCTCAATTTCTTGGTCATATTGTCGCTTTTTATTCTGTAAAACAATGTAGCTCTGAATCACTTCCCTTCCTATCACATTCACTCATTATATTAAAGATATTTATTAAATAACTAGCACTTAAACTCAGTGATAGGATATGATCTTTGCAACACTAAAATGGTTAAATTCCTCACTACTCAAGGTCAAGAGGCACTAAAATACGTTACAAAATTTTTCAAAAGGTTAAGTGATTAATTTTTTTCCCTAACATGGAAAATATGTTTTCTGTTATATGAATCATAGAATGCTCAAATATTTTAGGCAAATCAGAAGAAATACCTGATTGTTATGAAGAATTTAAAAAGGTAAGAAAAATATCAATATTTAGTCAGTATAAATCTTGATTCAGCAAAGCCTGATCTGAAGTCTACTGCACCATTATAACTTTACTTGTCATTTTCAAGTCTATTCTTATACATCAATAATATTCTTCACACGAGCATCTCACTCCACTAAACAAATCTTTTTGGAATTACAAGTCTATTCTTTTAGCCAGGGGGAAAAAAATCCTGCTTATATAACAACACTGTAATTTCAGACATATACATACAGTTAAATATTTGGAAAGGGTCATTTCTTTTAAAAAAGAAAAGATTAAAAACAAAATCATTCTGACAACTATTTTAGGAGGAACATGTCTATAACGTCCTGGAAAATATACAGTTATTTATATATTGTAGAATACTCAGTGAGAACAAAAGTAAACTACTTTCTTAGGAAAGCTGAGTTATGATCCAACAACTATAATAAACAATGTCACATTTAGAACAAAAGACTTCAAATTTCTATACAGTAAAAGAGGTATCTTGTAATACTCCAAATGACTTTTTTTCTAAATAACCTACATTACACTAGATTCAACATAAGTTGTTAGAATTTTTAATCAAAATCTATTCCTTTTCCAACCTCACACTGAAAACTGAGTGTGTTCAGTGACAATGACCTTTGACTAGTCAGCGCTCACTCACTGCCACTGAACTGATTCCTACTCAAAGTGACACTCCATCGGGTCTTCAAGGTTGTAAATCTCCATGTAAGAAAACTACCCATCTTTCCCCCACGTGGATCTGAAATGCCAGGGACAATCGGCCTTTTGGTTAGCAGAGCACCAGGAGCTGCTAACCAAACGACCTTCCTCTCTCCAGCTGTTCCAATCCACCAGACGCTCCCAAGAGAAAGATGGGCCTCGGAAACTCAAGAGAGGTCACTATGGGTGAGAATCATCTTGACAGCATTGAGCTTTGAGTCACCACTATTTTCTCCAGCAGCTGTCAACAGGGAAGTGATAAAACAGGAAGATACAGATGGAAGTCTTTCAAGTTAGAAAGGACCCAAATTTAAAAAATGGGAAAAAAGTAATCAGATCATCAAAGAGGTAAAAGCCAGAAATTTATCACAAAGCCACAGAGATCTCAGAAATCAGAGAATGAATTTTAAAACTGGTTAGTATACTGCAATTGCTCTGGTTTCAAGCACTAAAATTCACTGCTAACAACTCAATGGCACAAAAATCAATGATTTTTACCATCATTTCTTGCTCAAAGCGCCGGAAAATTTGTTCTCGCTGCTGCAGCAGTTTACTGTTGAGCTGCTGCTGTGCTCTTTGCTCTTCCTTCTGAAGAAATCTTAACTCCCACAGCTCCTGATGCCTAAGAAATCGCAATTCTTCAGTTTTGGAATCACTATCTGTAACTATCTTTGATGTTGTTACACTCACTTCAACACCATCAACAACAAATTCGCGTGTTTTCTTCAGTGTTTTCTTTTGTCTTCTTGTTTCTTGTAAAGACATTGACCCGCTATCTTTGGTTTTGCTTAGGAAACTAGAGATGGATAAATTCAAGTCAGTGCTGCTATTATCAGCAGTAGAACCAGTGCCTGAATCAGTATCATTCTCCTTATGATTTTCAGATTCCGGCAGCAACATGATTTCCGTTTTTTATAAAGCACCAATTTCGCCTTTGTTTTCTGCATCTTCAGAGTTGATGTTAATACTGGGTATTAGAACAGGCTGAGGTTCGCTGGGCTGTGAAGCTACTGGAACTTGAGGTTCTGTTTTAATTGGCACGTCACATGGGATTTCTTCTTGTTTTGTGTCCATCTGAGCAGTGGCTTGATGAACATCCCCAGTTTCACTTCCCAAAGTCTTCTGAGCCGTATCAAGCACTGCACTTCTGACATCCGTCTCTCCAGGGCTACTTGATTCAGTGATTTCCTCAACTTCATTTGGCCCCGGCTCCTCACTGGTCACCACTATGTTCTCAGAACTGTTGACTAGTGGTTCCTCACTTTTACTTTCTGAAGATTTCTCAGCTCTCTCATTAGTCTCGATTCTTTCTTTACTAAGAACCTCCTCAGTGCTGCCAGTCTCAAGCCCCTCCTTGGGCCTGATGATGAACTCCTGGTCTGTGTCAACCACTTCCTTCCCATCATTGCTCTGAGAATCCTCAGCTTTGTTTTCAACTGTCTGCCGAGCAGCGCCTACCAACTCATTGGTTCCTGCCACGCTGCTTACATCGCTGACCACATCTTTCGGAGTTTTATCATCTCCCACCGTCTCCTGGGTGTCGTCTTTCATAAGCTTAACTTCACTGTCAACTGCCTGAATACCTGCCTCTTTTTCTCCAGTCTCTTGAGAAACTAAATCCTTGGTTTGAACGGC